CCTTGTCATGTTCTTTTCCATTATAGGCTATTACAAGGTATTGAGTGCAGTTTAAGGTACTGTACAGTGCTATACAGTAGGACCTTGCTGTTTATCTCTTTTCTATATAATAGTATCTGCAAATCCCAAACTCCTAACTTATCCCTCCATCCCCCATTTCGCCCTGGAAACCACAAGTTTGTTTTCTGTGTCTGTTTCTGTTTTGTAAATAAGTTCATTTGTCTCATCTTTTTAGATTCACATATAAGTGATCTAAGTTATTTTTCTTCCTATCTGGCTTAATTCACTTAGTATGACAATCTCCAGGTCTATCCATGTTGCTTCAGTGGCATTATTTTATTCTTTTTTATGGCTGAGTAGTATTCCTTTGTATAAATCTACCACAGCTGCTTTATGCAGTCATCTGTTGATGGACATTTAGGTTGCTTCCATGTCTTAAATATTGTAAATAGTGCTGCCATGATCATTGGGGTGTATGTATCCTTTCAAATTAGTTTCCTCTGGATATATGCCCAGGAGTGGGATTGCTGGGTCATATGGCAAGTCTATTTTTAGTTTTCTGAGGAATCTCCACACTGTTTTCCATATGGTTGCACCAACCTACATTCCCACCAACAGTGTAGGAGGGTTCCCTTTTCTCCATACCCTCTACAGCATTTATCGTTTGTGGATGATAGCCATTCTGACTGGTGTGAGGTGATACTCAGTTTTGATTTGCATTTCTCTAATAGAGTTATTGAGCATTTTTTCATGTGCCTATTGGCCATGTGTATGTCTTCATTGGAGAAATAACTGTTTAGATCTTCTGCTCACTTTTTGATTAGGATGTTTATTTATTTATTTATTTATTTTTTGCTATTAAGTTGTAATGAGCTATTTGTATTTCTGAAAATTAAGCCCTTGTCAGTTGCATCGTTTGCAAATATTTTCTCCCATTCTGTAGGTGGTTGTTTTGTTTTGCTTATGGTTTCCTTTGCTGTGCAGAAGCTTGCAAGTTTCATTAGGTCTCAGTTGTTGCTTTTTGCTTTTATTTCT